CTTTCGGCGAATGATCTACCGCAACAGGTTGACGACTATCCCGAGATCATTGAGGACTTCTCGTGGCGTCTGTCTGCCACAGCTGACGTCCGTCTGGACGACCCCAAAGTGATCTACGTGGGCCGCAATGACACAATGAAGCCGGCCGATGGTTTCGATGGCTGTCTCTATGCCGCTCAATGGAACAACTTTTTTCCGTTTCGCCTGGCCTTCCAACAGCCGTCAAGTCTGACTGTCACGATGGTGCCGAATGGTGAGTGTATGTAGTGGCAGTTTCGCCGAGGGCGATTTGTCTCAGAGGCTCGGCTACGTTTGCACGACTTAAGGCCATTCCCTATAAATAGAGTCGAAAATAAGGGATTTTAGCCGGCGAAATTTATGAGTTGAAGAGTGATAAAGCTTTTTTTCCAATAATGAAATGAGTGGAAGGTCATACAAGACCAATGAATTTCATTCACTTTTAATCTCCATAGGAAACTGCTTTTTCGACCTCATCTAAGTCTTATTCTCGCCACCAACAGGATTCTGAACTGGGCTATACGTACTGTGGCAAATATGTACTGTCATTACAATCGACGATATCACTTGTATTCGTCGTGAATAGGCCTCAAAAATATCAACAATGTTTGTGAAACCCACTTGCACCCGTTGTCTAGTATCGGAACGTTACATGTTGCCCCGATGTTTCAGATCACTTTGAGGTACAGATAAGACTCATTTTGATTCAAAGCCTCAATCTACCCTAGTCGGAGCTAAGAGTCCTTCGGGAGGAAAAGCTATGTGAACCTTCATAGCATTGAGGGAAAACATGCACTATCAAAGTTTAGGCGGAGTGCGTACTATGCAAGTAGCCTGATCTTCTTTTCTAAGAGGTATAGTCATCTTAGGTCTCATAAGCTGATGAAGAAGTGATTATTAAATTTTCTCACAATTATATCAGTAGGTCTCACTACTACTTATATTACTGTGGGCAAATTCATCAATCCATCATTTATCACCTTACACAACTAGGGATGACCATAACTCTTAATCTGGATCTTCTGACAGTCTTGAAGCCAATCTGCCCTAAATATAATTTTCCTCTATTTTTTAGCATGATAGTATGCTATGTCCTTCAGGCTTGCATTCGTGGTCGAAATGATAATTTTAAGAACCCCCTGATGATGTCATACCATTAAAGCCTTACTTTAGTGTGAAAATTTTATTGTGAGGTATTCGTAAATTGATACTGGCATGCCTTTCATTTCTTTTGAGGAGGCGGATAGAAGGGATTCATAGATTGGCCTCAACGGATACCGAAGGAGGGTTGCCCTGTGCTTTGGACTGCTGAATTATGCGAAGAAGACCTCGACTCATCGTCCTACGACCCCAATGACTCCGTGCCGAGCTTTCTTCCTTCATGTGACGGACATCTTCAGAGCCAGAAACCATTATTCATTAACAATCACCAAAAAATCTAAACCAAGAAATGTGGCTGGATTAGATTCCACTTACTTCTTATTCCTCTATTTGTAATCTTAATCAGGCATTCCATGATTTGGTCGAATACCTTGTGTCGTCTGGGAAATTATCATGCATTCTAAGGACTCTGGATAGGGGCGTTCCCATAGGTCTTCCTGCCAATGTGATCAAATTGCGAAAACAAGGTCAAATAACTACTTTAAAATTTAACTTACAAATCCTCACATAGGCTTCTTGCTAACGGATGTAATGCCATTTTTGATTATTTAATTAAGCTATTGATTTAAGAATTCATTTATTTGTGCTTGAAAGCCAGCATTTATTCGATTTAGTGATTTCCTAACTATTTATATATGCTGCTGGTCGTATTCTAATTATTCTCCATAGAATACGATAACTTGTTGAAACATACAATGCCTAAATGAGAATTTATCAACATGATGAGTTTTATCAGATTTTTCTAAAGGACACTCTGAATAAGAGAAAAGAGTGTAGGAAACTAACTAAGAACTATCTCTGACTGCTAGATTGAATTAGAGAGAGAGATAGAGATAGAGAAAGAAAGGGAGCAGGAAGAGCCACCGAATAAATTGAGACGACTTGAATAACCTGGAGTCTGGTTTGGGACCAAAAATTGTCCACTAACTCGTGAGTGTTGCATAGACACATCGCACACACATTCACGAAGTTAAAACAAGCCCCATCATTACAGGATCACACTCTAGTTCATTTACATAGAGGAAAGTTGTGAACACATCCGCTCCCCTTCCTGCTTCAACTTCACTCGCATGCATACATGCAGGAGAAGCACAAAGTAGCCGACCAAATCATAGAATGCCTGATTAGGATTGCAAATTGAAGTATAAGATTTAAATGGAATCTAAATTAGCCACATCTCTTGGTTTAGCGTTTTTTGGTGATTGTTCATGAATAATGGTTTCTGGCTCTGACGATGCCCGTCACATGACGACTCATGAAGAAAGCTTGGCACCGAGTCATCGCGGTCGTAGGACGGTGAGTCGAGGTCTTCTTCACACAATTCAACAGTCAAAAGCACAAGGCAACTGTCCTTCGATATCCGTTGAGGCCAATCTACGAATCCCTTCCACCCGCCCTCCCAAACGAAATAAAAGGTATGCTAGTATCAATCCACCTAGGGGATCTTCGAAACCCAGCTTCTCTTCATATTTATAAGTTGGCCTCGACGGTAGCCGAAAAAAGATTGCCTTGCACCTTTGACTATTGATTCGAGGGCATAGGGTCTCGGTGCAACGGTTTCCTACCTTGATCCGTCCATGCAGCACTTGCACATGACTTGCCGTAAAAGGCGTCATCAGAACGGGAAATCATTCTTTCGTAAAGTTAGTCAAACGTTAAGTAAAGACGGACGAATGGCCAATATCTAGACCACTGCTTAAAACCTAATTTCTATACCTTTGGAAGTACCACCGAGTAAGAGGAGCATGGGGTCTGCTAAAAGCTATGGCAACTCAACTGGCTCATTAGTATTGCATGTTTATGACGCGCGCAACTACTTACCATTAGTCACACGTTCAGGATTACATTCCAGATCATCCAGCAGATGAAGAGTATTTTCGGCCACGTTCACATCCACTTCACCCGTAAGGAAAAACTATTAAAATTAGGCCACAAGGGTAGGTATGATTTTAGTCGACCTTTATTTTAGGCTTTGTGGTTTATGT